CTAAGGAGAGGGTAGGGGATATCCTGGTCTCAGCAAATACCTCCCAGTCCTCAGGGACATGCTTTTCTTCTTAGCCAAACAATGTGTTCCTGTTGGAATGGTCATGATCTTAGATGGCCCAGCATACTGGCCCTCCCATGGGATTTCTTAACTTGGGACAAGTGAGGGATCATCCAGAAACTTCATCTCTGGTGATGGAGACAGTCAGATAAAAAAATATGGGCATGGAAAGTGGAGTCAGCTGTTGCAGTGAAAGAGAACGAGGCAACCATTAGTGAGAAACACGAACGAGAGGCAGAGACAACGGCCTGGCACTGAGGTCCTTGTTCCTTGTGGTTCCCAAGGCCTGGCTCCTATCCCTGACCTTTGCTGTGTTTGGATGCTCAACCTTTCCTTGGATTCTATTAGCTGTTACAATTCCTCTTTTGCCTAAACTAGTTCAAGTGGGGTTTCTGATGCGTGCAACCAAACGTCTTCATTAATACAGTAGCGCCAATGCCAAGAATTCTCTAGGGAGGTTGAAGAAGCAATGTTATCAGTGCAGCTTCTCAAACTTGGTTTCACAAAGGGTTAGGAGCAATGTTTATGGCACGCTGACTTGGAATTACTGTCACTACTCTGCTCACCTAAAAGATAAGTGTTGGGAAGAAGAGTGAAAATATCCCAAGCTGCATATATGACTCAACTACTGAAGACGAGAAAGGGACCTGGGGAACAGACCCATGGGCTGGCCTCTGCCTTCATGTGGAATCACATATGAGTTTTCCAGATAGGAGATTTCCAGAAGAGAGTGAGGGTTATCTTCCCACCACCCACCACAGGTCTTAACTTGCACTATAGAGCTCCAGTAAGTTAAACCCAACTTCCATGTTTGCCTCTCAGTAGAGCTGAAGAACAGTGACAGACCATTGTCAGCCTAACAGCCTTTCCTATGCGTAGAGTTGTCACCTCCACACTAAATGATTCCAATCTGCTCTGTATGTCAATGGGGCAAATGCAATGGCCTGACGTGATGGTGTAGAAAATGCTTGGACTGGGAGTCCAAGGACCTGGATTCCAGCTAATGTTTTTCTACCAAGTCGTTAGAAGACTAGCTAAGCCTCTGGGTCCAGTTCCCCCACTTGTTAAATAAGGAGTTAGGGTAGCTGGTCTCTAAAATCCCTCCTAGCTCTCATATGCCAAATTACTGGCCTGGAATCATTCTGCACAATGAAAACTATTTGCAGGAGGGGGAAGGAGGAAAGAGAACAAGAAATTCAGATAGTTCCCCCTCATATTTAAGGTAAAATTATTATTCTTACAAAATTAAGCTTATTTATAGCATACCATTAACTTTTTGTATATGTTGTTTTTGTATTTTTGTTAATCCTCACCTGAGGATATTTTTCCATTAATGTTTACAGGGAGTGGAAGGGAGGGGAGAGACACACAGAGAGAAACATCGATGTGAGAGAGACACAATGATTTGGTTGCCTCCCACACGTGCCCCTGGGATCCAGCTTGCAACTGAGGTACATGCCCTTGACAGGAATCAAACCCAAGCCTGATGTTCTACCCACTGAACTAAACCAGCTAGGGCTACCACTAGCTTTTTAAAATACATAACAAGTTTATTATATAAGAAACAGATGTTTGTTATAGAAAATATAAATAAGTGTAAAGGAAAGAACTGAATCTCTAATCCTCCCTATCAAAGGTAGCCTCTATCAATATTTTGTGCGTATAAATAAAATTTTTTCTATACATGCATATTTATTTTTCTTATGAAAATAGGATCAGAATATCCATTTTGTTTTTAACTTGATCATGACACTTAACAACATACTGAAAACATCTTTCTATGTTAATAAATATATAGCATTTATTTTAATAGTATCTAGTAATCTGATGTTTGGGTGCACCTTAATTTTAACCAATAAGGATTATTTAACCAATCCCTTATGGCTGTATAGTTTTACATTTAATTATTATAAACAACTTAGAAATATACTTTGTACAAACATATGTACTTGTGTGTGTGTGTGTATTTTTTCTAAGACTTCTGAGTGAGCAGCCAGGAGCATCAGTATGATAAGGATGCAGAGCAGTCACACCCCTTCCTGGTGGGTTCATGTGTTAGTCAGATTCTTTCAGGTGCAGGGAGCTATTTGATGCCTCTGCACCACATGACAGATCACCACCCTGGTCACAACTGGATTGGCATCGTCTCCTCCCCAAAGGCAGCCATCTGGAGGCTGGTCAAAGCCTATGAGGGGCCTGGCAGGAGACCTCTGCCCTGAGAGGGATTCCTTTCCTAGGTGGTGGACTAAGGAGCTCAGCAGATTCTCTCTGAGGGTGTTGAATGCATATGAGCAGCCTCCATGGAAGGGCAGGCAAGATCATCCCCATGAACCAAGGGAACCGGTGGGTTCTCCACAACCCGAGAGAAGGAACCCCTTCCTATGTGATTCCCAGGGCTCATCCTCCCTGGATCATGGCAGTTTAACCAGGAGGGCAGAGCTGTGGTCTCTGGAGATGGGAGGCTGGGTTTGGATCCTGGCTCTGTAGCTTCCAACCTGTGTGATTTAAAGCTAGTCCCATAGCCTCTCTGTTCCTGAGTTTCCCCATGTGAAAACAAGGCCTGCTACAAAAGGCTACTGAGAAAACTAACTGAAATGATAGCTAGAAAGGCCTTTAGAAGGGTGCCAAGTATACAGTGGGTGTGGTTATTATGCCTCGGCTGGTAGGGTTTGCTCTACCTAGTATCTCAGGAACTTAAAGAGTCGTACAGGTCACTGATATCTGCAAGGACAAGCTGATGACTTCAGATATCCTGCTATTATTAGTTTACTCTGTAAGGACTTCTGTTTCTTCCACCAGATTCCTGACCTCCTTGAGGGTCAGGGCTACCTCAGCTTCCATTGTGCCTTCCAAGTGAAAAGTTGTTGGTCCTTCTCACCCCTTCAGTCTCCTGTGGCCCTACCTGCTGACCTCCACTGTGCCTTATGCAGGCTCAGTGCCTAATCCGCGATTGATTCTGTGGATTGGAGAGAATTTTCCATGCGGTCCTGCAGAGCCAGTTTGGACCAGCAGAATGGTCAGCTGAGCCAGCAGCCCAGCTCCCCCGCCCCCTCCGCAGCCTTCCTGAAGCGGCTCTCCCGGGATGGCAGCACACCAGCAGCTCTCCCAGGCAAGGGGGAGCTTAGCGCTGTGTGCAGAGCGAATTCCTGGGACTGGAAGTGATTATATTCTACTTCAGTTCGGAGGCTTTGAAAAACATCCCCACCACAGCTAACCACGGCCTCCTCTGGCATGTGCCTGAGTTGACCGAATGTAGTGTGTGTGTGTGGGGGGGGAATGACAATTTGCTTTGGGGAGTCCTCCCTCTAGGAAGGCAGCACACTGGTTCCTCTTTCTGGAGTGTCCCTGAGGCTAGAGCCCTGGACAAATAATGAAAGGAAGGAAGTGAAAGTTGTTGGTCCTTCTCATCCTTTCAGTCTCCGGTGGCCCTACCTGCTGACTTACCTGGGCCACTAAACCTGGATCTTAAATGCTTCATAGCTGAGCAGCTCATGTAGCCCCAGCATCATATTAGCTGCAGGGAAACTCAGCTACACAGGACAACTAGAGAGGAAGGAGTTACAGAGGTCCAGCAGGAAGTTGTGTACTAAAGGTATCATACTAAAGATGTTAGGATTTCTCTGTGCCACGCATACGCTGGGTACATTTCATCACAATAACAACATTAATAGCTAACACATAGCACATACCACCTGCCAATTACTATTCCAAGTGTTTTATACATATTAACTCATTTAGTCATTACCCCAAATCAGTAGAATAGGTAATATTATCTCCATTTTACAGATGAGGAAACGGTGGCCCAGAAGTTAAGTAACTTGCGAAGGTCCCACAGCTACTAAGTGGCACACCTGGACAGGCACCTGCTCCCTACTCCAAGGCTTTTCAACGAACATTTCAGCATGATCACGTGTG